TGTCGGTGAGGGGACCGGTGGGACAGGGGGGGACCACACTGGTGGTCAAGTACTACCACGAAGTTTGTCGGGAGACAGGGGACTTTGAAATCAGTAAGGGGTTTTCGTTGCCAGGATCCTCCATGGTTTCCATCGTATGTTGTGAGGCAGCATCCAACTCAGAAAACAGTTTGGCCGGGCCCTGCTATAGTTGATTGTAGGATTCCCGGATGGCTTCTTTAGCTACGGGTGCCTTTTCCTCCCAATAATCCTTGATAAAGGCTTCCCAGGCCTCCTGGGTTCTTGTTCTAATCTAGTCTTCTATGGCTTGATGTGCTTGCTGTAACCGAAATTGGTGGCTTTTCCTGTGAAAAGAACATCTAGCTCTCCAAGTCAGCATGAGTACCTGCAGTCTCATATAAGAGAAGAGGTTGGTGGGATAGCCTTCCCTCCAAGGCAGCTTGACAAGAACCGACATCTGATGGCTCGTACACAAGGAAGCCTTCCTGGTGGTCCCCTGCCACACATATGCGGATGAGGCCCGCCCAACTTTCCTTGCCGTCCAAGTCTTTGTTTCGTGCGAGTTTGGAAAGTCTGCCTCCTGGCAGATCAGGCTTATAGGCCTTCAGTGCACACAGCCCGTCTTTGTTTTAGTGAGTGGGAGGGCCAGGTCTACATGCCTAACCACCCGATCATCTTGACAAACTGTAGGGCCCTCCTTGAGGGTTAGTCGCCACGTTAAGGGGAGAGGCTCCCTTAGTTTGGCAACTTTGTCTTCCACGTTTTTTGTGTATTTCAACTTGAGCTGTAGCTGATCAACCGTGGGCCAATCACCTTTATAGGGTTCCCAGAGGTCTCCCACCGTGAAGATGCCTTTTTTGTTTAGGTAAGCCAAGGGATCACCATCCTCGTCCAGTGCGTAGGGGTTACCAAGGAGCGGCTGCCTCCATATATTGTGTCATCTGTTGGGGGGCTGTTTTTGTTGTGGACCACGTGTTCTCTAGAGTTTGAGCATATAGGGTCATAGGGGGTCCAAAAGCAGGTTCATCCTTGGTGCTTGTGTTGGGGTATCTGCCTGCACTTATCGCAAGGGGGTGGGTATCGACCAATGCTTGTTTGTCAGCCACCGGAAAGGGTGCAGAGTGTTAGCTGTCAGCGATTCCGGGGCCAGGTTGGCAATCTGCAGGCAATCTGCAGGCTGCCCATGGAATGTTGTTCCCCACGAGTACTCCAGTGAGGCTTCACTCTCCCTTTCTGGATCCAACATTCTCATCCCCCCTTTGGACCTTGGTTGGGTGAGGGTTTCCCAACTCACTCGATGTACGCATCCTTGGTCCTTGGCGCTATGGCCACTGGCAGCATTTTTCTCAACCTGGTGTATTGTCTGGGCTTTAGTGGTCAGACAACCAGTTTGTACAAGATAGCCGCTAATGTTGCATGATTTATTATCAGGGTCCGCCCCACCAGCGAAGTGTGTAACCCCTCCCATTTTGCCAGTCGATCCATTGCCATGTTGAGTAACATATCCCCGTGGTCCTGTAGGGGTCCCAACGCAATAAGTCTCACGCCGAGGATTCTGATGGCATCTTTTTTCCATGCCCATCCAACCGTCGGATGAAGGGGCAGGGGTTCTCTCTAAGGGTGGAGCCACCATCCTTCTGTTTTTGAGCCCCAGTTGACTTTCATGTCAGGCGCTAATGAGAATCAGTGAATGACTTGTGTCAATGCGCTGAGGCTATCTGGGTCTGCCTGTATGAGCATTGTGAGGTCATCTGCAAATAGCGAAGTTATCGTAATTCCCGCAACTTTTTGGACCCACTTTCCATGATGAAACCACGGGCATGGTTGAGTGACCGAAGCAAGTGGCGCAGAAAGCTTTGTTGTTTTCCAAAGTGCCTTCCCCCTTAAACCCCTAACATTAGAGTGAATTTTCTACCTTTCTCTAAGGAAACCTTGTCGCGCAACTAATTAAGAATGGCCGAATAATCCCGGCTCATCCTAATGTGTTGTTCAGGTCAAGAGAGTTCCGGGCATTGTGCGTATGTCGGATACCATTTTACTTCACTATTCCACATGGTAAGCCCCCAA